ACACTGGGTCCTCCCTTTAACTCAAGAACACCGACGTAATCGCCTTGAGTCGTGCTGACAACGGTCACTCTGGGATCAAGAATGGAACAGTATTTAGTGACGAGTCTCGATTTTGTTGGTGTCGATGGTTGTGCCAGGGTTAGAAGACGACGTGGTGAAAGGAGGAATCCACAATTTTTTGTTGAAAGACATGTTCATCACACTGTTGGAGTTATGGTTTGGGGTGCTATAGCTTATGGTTCCAGGTCACCTTCAATCTTCATCAGAGGTAACATGAACGCGCAGCGTTATATCCACGAAGTTCTAGAGCCCCATCTTTTACCCTATCTTGACACCCTGGCAGATCCAACTTTCCATCAAGATAATGCCCGACCGCATGTTGCAAGAGTCACAATAGACTTCTTTCAACATAATGATGTCACATTGTTACCATAGCCACCAAGATCTCCCGACTTATCCCCAATTGAGCACGTGTGGGATATGATGGGTAGGAGATTGCTCAATTTGCAACGTCCTCCTCAGACTCTAGAAGCACTTCGAGAGGAGTTGGTGGTTGCCTGGTATGAGATACCACAGGAGGACACAGAAGCATGCCTAGGCGCGTTGGAGAATGCGTAGCACATCAGGGTGCATCCACACATTATTAAAGGTCAAAGGGCTTTAAAGTAGTGCAATCATTTTGAAATTTTTATCATTTACTTATTATGCTTCATTCAGTACTTATACAAAATTTTATTAAAATAAAACCATTTAAACTGGGTGTTCGGATTTATATGTCACTTAGTATATTTACCGATTCCTTTTTTTTTTTTTGTCGGTTCGGCCACACTACAGATGTGCAGATCACTTTAAAAGCAATTGATATCCCAGACGAGTTATAATAATAGAAATAACAAGTAAATATAACAACGTTTGGAAATATATTTTCATAGATAGGTATTTCTGATTCTGACTTATAATATTGTTGGATTCTATTTCAATGGATGCGGATACTTTTACAAATATCGATGTTTTATGACCCATGCGTGCAGAATGTGCTGTTTGTTTTGGTTGTGGATTTCTAGATCATAAATTGGCAAAAAGTTTTTGATGTAATAAAAGATGATGAACCAGTTGGAATACGTTTTGTATCCTTTTTTTTGCAAAATAACAAAAATCGGTACATTTCTACAGGTACGTATTATATAAAACACACTGTACGTGATATACAGACAAAACTGGATTGCCATGCATGAACAGTCGTCAAAAACAGTGAAAACGTCCTACCAAATATAATAACTAGAAAATCGACTTATTATTTCTCTCATTTTCATTGGTCCATTTAATTAACTGACCGTTTTTTGTGAAGTGATATAAATTTGAAATTCCATGAAAGTTATCCTAATTCTAAAGCACAAAGATATAAAAGTACATCTATAATGTACCCTTATTTATAAGGCAACCGTTTTTTCACGACTTTATTCGATTTTTCAATAGAAATCACTGATATCACTGATCAACAGCCAAAAAATATCCAAAATAAAATCAACAAAATATTACTATTTTTAATGTGCTAAAACCGGACTGAAACTTATTTTTTCAATATTAGTTCAAGTTTTAGAGATACGGTAATTATATGTGTTCCTGCTGTGACAGTGTTAATATACTGTAATTCACAAGAATGCACGTGCTACATTTTTATATTCGGCAAGGAAAGATGATGTAATCGGCATGATTGTGTTACGTTATACATACGTGTACATTATATTGTTTTATATTAGCCATTTTTTCCTCAGTTGGCTGACAGCGTTCATGCAAGATGTCTCGAAAGTGTGTAAACAATCCAGATCAGTTTCGTTACGTGTGTGGTGATGTGACTTTTGCGTCTCAGAGACGGTCTATTACTCCACTAATAACAAAGGCATATCAGCTTTATTTCGGTTGTAAACTAGGTGATCAAGACAAACAGTGGGCACCCCACATCTGCTGTAATACATGTGCTTCAAGTATGAGGAGCTGGTTAAATGGCAAAAAACGGTCTATGCGCTTTGCTGTCCCAATGGTTTGGAGAGAGCCTAAAAATCATATTAATGATTGTTACTTTTGCATGGTACCTTGTGTTGGACAAGCCACAGGTATGTCCAAGAAAAAAAAATCGGTTATTAACTACCCAAACATACCATCTGCGATGAGACCTGTGCCTCACAGTGACGAAAATCCTATTCCAAAAGCCCCAGAATCCTACACTTGCGAATCAGAAAACGAATCAGATCATGGCGATCGAGTGATTCGTCAGGAAGAAGATATGCCATCAACGTCAAGAGATCCTGATGTTATACCGAGCACGTCATGCCACCAACCGCACAAAATAACACAGTCAGAATTAAATGATCTTGTAAGAGATTTAGAACTTCCAAAATGTAAGGCAGAGTTACTTGGATCAAGACTGCAGCAGTGGAACTTGTTAGAAGACGATGTTTCGGTATGTGTTTTTCGTAAACGCCACAAAGACTTAGAACCATTTTTCAATATGGAGAATAACTTGGTTTTCTGCAGTAACATTAACGGCTTACTGGCGGCTTTAAATATAAACTACAACCCAGAAGAATGGAGATTGTTTATAGACAGTTCAACATTGAGTTTAAAGGCAGTGTTATTGCATATTGGAAATATTTTACCATCTCTTCTTGTAGGGTATGCAGTTCACATGAAAGAATCATATGACAATATGAAGTACCTATTGACATGCATAAAATGCGATGAGCACCAATGGCATATTTGTGGCGATTTGAACAAAGTTTTGCTGTTTTTTGTGTGAATGGGACAGTCGGGCAAAGGCACTTCATTACACCAGACAAAACTGGCCTGTTCGTCAATTCCTAGAGCCAGGTCAAAAAAATGTACAGCATATGCCATTAGTAGATTCAAAAAAAATTTTATTACCACCACTGCATATCAAGTTGGGCCTAATGAAAAACTTTGTCAAGGCATTAGATAGAGATGGGTCAGCTTTTCAATACCTGCGTCAGAAATTTCCAAGACTAAGTGAGGCAAAGGTTAAAGAAGGTATTTTTTTTGCGCCACAGATTCGAAATATTTTGAAAGATACACAGTTTGAAAACACTTTAACAGGTATTGAAAAAACTGCTTGGAATGATTTCCGTCTGGAGGTCACTAATTTCTTGGGAAATAGAAAGGCTGACAACTATAAAACCCTTGTCAAAAATATGCAGTCATCGTATCAAAAGATGGGCTGTAATATGTCTCTTAAGATACATTTCCTACACTCACACCTGGACTTTTTTCCTGACAATTGCGGAGCCGTAAGTGATGAGCACGGCGAACATTTTCATCAGGATATTTCAACAATGGAAAAAAGGTACCAGGGAAAGTACAATCCTTCCATGCTTGCAGACTACTGTTGGACTCTTGGTAGAGATCCTCCAGAAACGATCCATAAAAGAACAGCAAAAAGACAACGCATATAGTGATTCTTATAAGTATATGAATCTTGTTACTTTTTTTAATATATCCTTAAAAATGAAAAGTTTTTTTTCTAAACCGCAACTAATTTTTTTATTTCAATGTAATTTTTGGATTCAGCGCCCCAAAATTAACAAAGAAGTGCACTTTTCCCACAAGATACAATTAAAAAACTAAAATTTGTTGTCCAGTTATTCAGAGAGCTTTGACAGCTTCCGTCAAATTGCATTTCGATAAGGTCTTTTCCTATTGGTCCAACTGACCGTCAAATATTAATGTTGGTGAATTTGACCCTTAGTCTGTCAGTCGGACGGACCGACATACAGGCTGAAATGAGTGACATGGTTTTTACGTAACATCCAAAAAATATGTCTTACTTCCGAAAAGTTTCGCGATTACGATACTTCCTAGCCAGTAGGTATGGGAAGTTAAAATATTCGAGAGCGCGTTTCTTTCCCTGATTTTACTTAAAAGCAACAAAATGTTTTTAGTGATTGTTTCCATTATGTACTCACAAAACTACCGAGTCAGTTTTAATAAAACTTTGTCAATAAATAGTGCCTTGTAGAGAATCTGAGCTGGTGTCGGTTACATTTGAATCAGCGACGCTTTTCAACTATACAGAGTGACTTCGAAGTTGAGTCATTTATTTTAACAGTGAGTAGATCTGATCAAAAGAAATGTTTTTTCCTTTAACATTTTTCTGGTAAAATTAAAGTAACAAAGTTATAGCTCTTTAGAAGTTTAAGTACCGCCCTGTCTCAATAATAATATTATGTGCTCGTGTTTGGCAACAATGGATATAATCTGCCTTATCGGTTCATCGCATCGGAAACAAAAAAGCGAAAGAATTTGAAACGCTTATCACGATGTTTTTACTACAATTTTATTCAGTTGTATTCAGTCAATGTGTCAGTCGGTAACGCGAGAGTGAATAGTGGTGTTTGTTGCGCGGCTCAAACGAAATAAAAAATGGCACATGTTTACGAAAATGCTGAACTTGTGGACATGATTCTTATTTACGGGGGGGGGGGAAACGTTACAAAATGCTGCCGCGGCATCACGGATTTATGCGGATCGGTTTCCCAATCGAGTGCAACCAACCCCACGAGCCCTTGTACTACATTTAGTACAAAGGACTCGTGAATCAGGTGACTTAAGACCTCACAGGAGAGGGCATGCCGGTGCTCCAAGACCGCACGATCAAATACAGGTCCGCACTGAAATACTTGTCGGGAGGATACTTTATAAAACAAGGTAACATTTTTTTTTTTATTTTTACACACATATTTTGGTTTATCTTCCTTCTGCAATCATTATCTGAAAATTAATGACTCAACTTCAAAGTCACCCTGTATATACCTATATCCATAACTGGTTACATGAATAATATTGTAATAAGTCCTGTTACTAGGAAAAATGTAAAGTACACAAACTGTGAAAGTTGCCAAAACGAGCCGCGTTGTGATTATGTATTCCAGGTAAGCATCACGAAACGGACATGGCTCGAACGTCGCATATTTTTAGTCTTCTCCTAGCTTGAAGTAGTTGCCAATCAAGATTCTCCGAATCGAGGCAGCAGTAGCAGTGCGGTGGCTGGCACATTAAAATATACACAAATTCTTAAGCCTGTCGATGTCGGCCGGCGCAGCAGCAAAAAGGGGCCCGTCGCCGTCGTGGTGGTAGCCGTGGCCACGCGGCCTCAGCCGAATTCCGTCCAAGCTACCGTGGATGCTAGTTCGGTCAACTTAGATGCTGTTTCGAAATAAAATGTACGGATGTGAAAGATATATAGTTTATTCTCTGAAACAATTGACGGCATATTTAGTAAATTTTAATGCCAACCTTGATGCAAAATATATCTTAAATTGGTACGTACAGTTTAAATTTGCTGGCAATAAGGATGTTACATATTAACAGGGGCTTACAATTATATGCACAATATAGTAGCTGCTGCGCACTGTTACCTCTGTTTTAATACTATATGTCTATATAACCCTTCCTTGGGGACCCAGGCGGCAATGTCCATTTTGCGATTACTTAAATCCGCCGCTGGTCGCACAGCTTGTCGATGGGCAGAGTAGTCGAAATGGCTATCGCCGTTCGACTAGAGAAGCAGGCAGAAGAACTGGAACTTCCCCCTCCCCCAGAGCAATTCGGCTTCAGATCCTCCCACAACACGGAACTCCAACCGCTACGACTGACAGAAAACATCACCAGTGGCTTCAATCTCCAGGAGGCAACCGGCCTCGTCCTGCTGGACGTGGAACGAGCCTTCGACCGAGTTTGGCACGATGGACTCATCGCCAAAATGGAAGCCGCCGGAATCGATGCAAAAATGTGCCAACTGATCCAGAGCTATCTAACACAAAGATGGTTCACGGTGAAGATTGGTACATGCCACTCAACAAGACGACAGCTGGAAGCAGGCGTGCCCCAGGGGTCAGCCTTAGCCCCCCTGCTCTACAACATCTACACTCACGACGTACCGAAGACAGCTGACACAATGCTGGTCCTATATACACACGACACTGCTATAGCCGCCAAGCATCGACGACCCGAGATCATCCGTAGGAGACTACAGGATGAACTGGACCACATCCAGGACTGGTGCGTGAAATGGAAAATCCGCATCAACGTCCAGAAGACGCAGGCAATCTTCATCCAACGAAGAAGGATTGCAAGTCCTCTCGAAGCATCCATCTTCGACGAAGATATCCAGTGGAGCGACAAAGTCAAATACCGGGGATCGTATTTGACAAGTCCCTCACCTGGAAAGATCACATAGAAGCTGTCATCGCAAAGACCAGAGCAGCCATGGCCCAACTCTACCCATTACTGGGTAGACACAGCGGGATGCCGCTAGCGACCAAGCTACGGCTGATCAAGGCCATCGCCAGACCTCAGCTCGCTTACGCCTCCGCGGTCTGGGGGTACGCTGCTCCCAGCTACCGCAAGCAACTTGCTGCTCTAGAGATGAAGCTACTCCGGATCGCCACCAGTGCACCATCCTACGTAAGAAACTCAACCTTTCGTAGAGACCTGCATTGGGACACCATTCACGAGTACATGAGGAAAAAAGCGGAAAAGACCTTCCAGAAAGCTCAGGACCACCCGAACGAGCAGCTACGACTCCTCATGGACTACGATCCGGACGAGATGCCTCGCAACCGCAGAGCCAAGTACTCTAGACCCAAGTACCCTAGATCCAAGTCACAGTTAGCAGGCGCTAACCAGAACCCATCTGGACCAGGACGATCAGGACCAGAACCCATCTGGACCAGGACCCATCAGGACCAGGACCAATCAAGACCAGGACCCATCAGGACCAGGTAACAAACAAGTAGTAGAGGACTTGAAACTCTTGATTTTTCGAAAACAAGAGTTTCAAGAGAACATAGCAAACCCTCTATCGATGCTCGCTTAACGACATCGATAGAACTGTGCGAGGTAAAGGGAACCAACCCGGCGTTCCCAGAGACTGAAACACATGACGAGACGTTGTAGCAGATCGCAGGTCACGCACAACACATGGCCTACCGAGACGCTGATGAGTCGGGCCACGCGGAGGTTAGGGTTTAGGTGGTCTCATCAAGACAACCTGGAGTCTCACACACGCCGTAGCTCGGGCTATGGTATGGTGCATAAACGCATTCCCCCCTCATTAAAAAAAAAGCTTATCAGGTAATTACGCCAACGGCTGTGGTTTATTGTCGTTCTTTTTGCCTCAATATTTGCATTGTTATTATATAAAAATAGATTTTTTCGAAATTTTTAAGCATTTTGTTAAAATGCTGAAACCACTGGGTCGACAAGTAAAAGAATTCGTCATTTCTTTGACGAAATATCTTGAGACCGAACGAGATCATGGAGGTCCATTATTGCCTTTAGAGTCCGTAAGAGAGGTATTAGTTAGTTAATAGAACTTATACTAGCTCTAGCGTTTACAAAACATACGCTCCGAAATGTTGGTTGCGGTATGGCATCGAAGACAAGTAGATTTTGTAAAAAGTCCTAAGATCTAGTAGTTTTAACTAATGTGGCAACCGTGTGCGTCACTGTCATTATTTGACGTAGTGACGTCAGTGAACAAACTATACCTAAAATATCGGAATCTCTTGCTCACTACTGTACAGGATCGTACGTGGATCGTACAGTGAGAGCAGCGCAGTTTTGCTGGTCTCTTGGTGTACATGGCGAGCGACTTTGATATAATGCGGTATTTGGGCTAGGGATGTTCCGATCCACGAAAAGTATCGATACCATGTATCGATTAGTATTGCTTTAGGAAGTATCGATACTTTATCGGAATAAAAATATCGACACCACAAGTGTCGAAACTTTCAGATTCGGAACATACACATACACTGCCGAAAATCGAAGTTTCTTCCACAACCCTCAAAATAATGTTTACTTTTTTCAACTGCATGACTTGATTGTTAAATACGTTCACTAATAAAAAAACAGGTGACAAAACCCACAATTGCATAACTTACATCTCCCGTCTAAACTTATCATGAGTGTGTAATTCCCCGAAACCGAATCCAACAGGGTTGCCAGGTCTTTTAGCTCAGTTTACCCCGTCGAAACGTAAGGACCCCTAGATTCAGGGCTATAAAAGAATCCCCAAACAATACCATTTATTTTTTTCACGATTTGTTATGTATTCTTGGATCCTAAAATATTTTTTATGAGCGACATGTTTTTTGTATGTTTCTAAAAGGTAAAAATATTTTTTTTGATTCGAAAACACAGATGAAGATAAATACATAATAAGTGGATCATGTAATGTCAAATGTAAAATTTTACATAATAATACCTCCCTAGTAAAATGTTTCCCCAAAAGAAATCCCCCGAAAAAAATATCCCCAAAATTTTTCCCACTGAAATAAAAATCCTCTGATTTTTGGCGAAAACCTGCTAAAATGGCAACCCTGGAATCCAAAATAAATTATGTGAGGTCGTGAAGGAAACAAAGAAGAAAAGTAATCCGAAGTTAGTCACTCTTTCTGGCACAGTCCGGATCGAAGGATAACGATACTCGTGAAATGTATCGATACATCCAAGTATCGTATATAAAAATATCGATCCAAAATATCGGTTACCTGAAGCAAAAGTATCGATACTTCTAAATATAGGATCGTATCGAACATCTCTAGTTTAGGCGCATGAGATACTCGTCTGACAGTCGCGACATCACCACCCAGAGATAACTTGCAGTTTAGAACTGATAAATAAAATATCAGTTTTACTTTATACACAACTGACGTGGTAGTATTGTAATCGCAAAAAAAATCGAAAATGAGATATTGTGTTTTTTTGTGTTATATAATATGTACAGGGTGGGCAACTAAGAATGCGAGCTACTGTATCTGGAACCTATCCATCGTAAAGGCTTGTGACAGAATCAATTTTTAGTAAAACGGCCAACAAAAAAACCTGGAAAACATTTTCAAGTTTCTGAAATGGCCGCTAAGGAGCATAGCTGCAACCTTAAATCTAAAAAAAAATGTTGTTTCTGTGAATTCCGCTATAATAACATAAGAAAAATGTACCTGATCTTCAAATTCGAAGATAATCGGTCAACCTTTCTTTTTTAAATCGGTTCTAAAAATAGTTCAAAGGCATACAAATTTAAGAGATTTCCGGATAAAACTTTCTTTGGCCTAAATTTTAGGTTAGGAACAAGATATCGAGAGCCGGTTTTAGTGAGCTTGTTTCGACATCATTTAGCTACGTTTTCATGAAAAATTATACAAATGCATTCAACTTTTTTGAGAAAATTTACCATTTCTGTCGGAAGGTCGTCTAGCGGCCACATGTGAAACTAACCAAACTTCAAATATTATAACATTTGTAGCCCAAGAATAGCAATACAGGGTGTTCTTTACGGAACCCTTTGAATACCCTTCAACACTTTATTTCTAAACATACTGCAAAAAACTGTCAAGCAAAAAAGTTCATATTATCCTCGACTTCAAAGATCCGGAATTTTTTCTGGTTGTAGTAGTAACTGTTATTGTCGCAAGCCTCTGCGGTGAATGGTTTCCCAGATACAGCATCTGTCTGTCTGTCCACTAATTCTTAGCCCTTCTATGGGGTTGTCCAAAACGGACGCAGGAAAGTAAACACATATTAAAACAAGAAAGATTGATATTCAAATCAAGTTGGGTACTTTATTTTGAAGGTTCATTTATACCATTTATGTATGAAAAATAATATCGCTCAAATGTTCACCGCGACTGGATTTACAGACGTCCACGCGATGGTCGAAATTTTCAATGACATTTTGCAACATGGTCGGTTCTATGGCATTTATCTCGGCAATGATGTTGTTTTTCAGTTCTTGGAGGGTGGCTGGTTTGTTGACGTAGACTTTGCTTTTCAAATATCCCCATAAAAAGAAGTCCAAGGGAGTCAAATCGCACGATCTTGGTGGCCATGGCACATCTCCTCTGTGCGAAATCACGCGATCACCGAAGAAGGACTGCAATCGATGGATATTGACGTTGGTTGTGTGGTATGTTGCACCGTCTTGTTGGAAATAAACATCGTCCATATCCATTCCTTCAAGTTGCGGCAAAAAATAGTCCTCTATCATCACGTGATATCGCTCACAATTGACGGTAACGGCGTCCCCGGCCGCATTTTCGAAAAAGTAAGGTCCGATGATGCCTTTTGACCACAATGCACACCACACAGTCACTTTTTGAGGATGCATCGGCTGCTCTTGATACTCACGGGGATTTTCGTTCGCCCAGATGCGGCA